TGCTTAACCAAAACTCCATCGAATCTCTCTTAAATTCCTCACCTACTCACTTCCAATTCCCCAACAACTACTCGATTCGCCTCCTCTTCTCCCCAAAAACCCTAGATTCTCCCGCGTTTCCCCCCCCTTAATCGCCACTGATTACCATTCTTACACTCTCCTCCGCGAGAGAGTGTAGAACAGAACAAGAGTTAGGGGTTTTCATATAATTTGATTTTCCATGGAGCCTCGTTTTGGGAGTAAGTTTCGTCTTGGCCGGAAAATCGGGAGCGGCTCATTCGGAGAGATTTATCTTGGTCCGTTCTCTCTCTCTCTAACGATTTTGCTTAATTTGGTCAAATTCGTTTAGATTTTTGTAAATCGTTTCCTATTTAAAAAACTCTCACTTTCGATTGCAAGTTGTTTTTAATGGCTAAGTTTGAGACTGTTGTGATTTCAGGAACTGATGTTCAGATTAACGAAGAAGTCGCTATTAAGCTCGTGAGTGTTCCCAAATCTTCTGTTGAGATTTGAAGTTAAAAGTCTCAATTTTGGAGAAAACTGAATTCGAGATTTGTGTTGTGTATTGTGCAGGAAAATGTGAAGACTCCGCATCCGCAATTGTCGTATGAGTCGAAGATATATAGAGTTCTTCAGGGTGGAAGTATGAAATGTTTCTAAATTTATAGACTTTTAATCGGAATATTAGTTGTTTTGTGGTTATCGATTTCTTGCGTTTAAATGGCGAATGCAGCTGGGATTCCGAACATGAAATGGTATGGCGTCGAGGGAGACTACAATGTTTTAGTGATGGATTTGCTTGGTCCAAGCCTTGAAGATCTGTTTAGTTATTGTAACAGGAAGTTTACTTTGAAGACAGTTCTCATGTTAGCTGATCAAATGGTAATGCGTGCATTGTTACTGTCAATGCAACTCTCAGTGATGGGTTTTACAAACTTGTTTTACACCTTGTGTCAGATTAACCGTCTCGAGTATATCCATTCTAAGTCGTATCTTCATCGTGATATAAAGCCGGATAATTTTCTCATGGGTTTAGGAAGGCGGGCAAATCAGGTTATCGTTCTTCTACATAAACTCTTGGTTACCATTTTTGTTATTCTCAACGTTGGTTTTGGGATCTCACTAGTGTACTTCTTTCTCTAGGTCTACATTATAGACTTTGGCTTGGCTAAAAAATACAGAGACAGCTCAACTCACCGACATATTCCATACAGGTAACAAGGTTTTGGATATCAGAGATTCAGCATTTTCAGCAAATTGGATGTCAGATTCAGATTTTGTTGTTTACTGACATTTGCGTATGAATTATTCAGGGAGAATAAAAGTCTAATTGGGACTCCGAGGTATGCCAGCTTGAACACTCACCTAGGGATCGGTATACTCCATCGCTTTTCTATATATCCTCCTGATAGCCGCTGATCTTATTCTCTCTTTCACGGGATACTTTTTCTTATTTCGATCTTCTGTTTGTCTTTACATTCTACACTTGATAGAGCAAAGTCGGAGGGATGATATAGAATCACTTGGTTATATCCTCATGTACTTCCTCATGGGAAGGTGAAAGTCATTAAGTAACCTTTCTTTCTATCCCGCTTCTTATCTCGCAATCCATCTCTTATCCTATTTTCTTGTAGTCTTCCATGGCAGGGACTGAAAGCTGGGAACAAGAAACAGAAATACGATAAGATTAGTGAGAAGAAGGTTTCTACTACCATCGAAGTAAGTTTTTCTCATATGGTGCACCTTCAGAAACTCACGAGTCCATGTACTAAGAAATTGTGATGAAGTAGAGAAGGTTGATTAGAGATAGTACAGTAACTTTGCATCAGTGTATTTTCAGGCATTATGCAGAGGTCATCCAACAGAGTTTGCATCCTACTTCCATTACTGCCGCTCACTTAGGTTTGATGATAAGCCAGACTACGCATATTTGAAGAGACTATTCCGCAACCTTTTCATTCGTGAAGGTCATTCATCTTCTCTCTCCCTCTTCCTCTCAGGCTATTAAATTCATTACAGTAGCTTTGATTGACACCAACTGAATCCCCACTGTTTTGTGTTTCTTGTTCGGGTTTGCTTGTCTCAGGTTATCAGTTTGATTTTGTGTTTGACTGGACGGTATTCAAGTATCAGCAATCGCAATCTGGAAACCCTCCACCTCGTGCCCATGTACAGTTTTGATACTTACCAATTTTGATCCCGTTCATGGAACCTATACATACGCAGATGAATAATGCGTTAATATTTGATGTTCCTTCTGTCAGGATGGTGGTGTTGGAACTAGTTCTGGATTAAACGCTGCGGTTGGCAATGCTGAGAAGCGTCCAGGTATATATATATATTTTGGATCCTTACCATCTTCCTTATGCAAATGCAGCCACATAGCTGTGTATATTATACTTAAGGACGTGTTTGTCTCTGCCGTAGATATCATAAATCAGAGAACAAATCCGGATTTTACCCTGAAGCAGAAGACCAAGAACGAATCTGGAATTGCTAAGGACACGCTGGTAAGTATCCTTTCATGCTTGTCTTTAATCTCGGGTGCCGTTTTTGGAATCAGTACGTTCATTTTTGTCTGTCTATTTCTCAGCTTCCAGGATCCTTCCACTTGGGTCGATCAGAAGGATCATCAACAAGACGAGTTGTGGACTCGAGTAGTCGTGAACCGTTCAGCGGCGGGAGTGAAAATGCAAACATTGAATCCGCACTCAAAGGGATTGATAGCTTGCGGATCAATAACAATGGAGGCGATGAGACTGCAGCATCGCCACAATCAAATGGAGACGATAATACTACTAGTCGTGTAGAACCCAAAGCAAAGTTTTCAGACTGATTGATACATGAAGCTTTAAGGCCAAACCGGTATTAGCTTTTGTTGCTGCTTGCCCTCAACCTTGTTGAGAGTTTGAAGGTTGCCTATGTGATTCTTCTGAAGAATGCTTTTATTTAACAGTTAGAGATTTGATATAAGAAAGAGATAGGGATTTATTTATACCAAAGTTCTTAAATATGATTCTTCAGATGTTCATTTGCTCCTCCATTGTATAGAGAAACCTTTCGAATTTTAAGATCCTTGCTCTCTGAGAATCTTAGTTCTATTGTGTGTGGTTTCATGGAGGGAGTTTGTTTCTTTTTATAGAAAATGAAAAATTTGCATAATCAAACTGGCGATTTCGGAAAACAATTTAAGTATCAGTTAATAGACCTTGTTTTCATGTCTTTCAAAACGATTTTCCTTTTAATTGTATCATAAAGTCTAGGAAATTTTTGTCCGGTATGCACCACAAAGAAAAATGTTATTGTACTATTTTACATGACATCATCGACCATGTATCTTTTAGCTCCCTAAATGTTATGTTTCTCTTCTATTTCAAAAATGCAAATAATTAGTTAGCGAATCCTCTTGC